TTTGCACTGTCTCCCAGATAATTACGGCTGCTGCTGAATTATTTACCTTAAGCATATTAACATGTTATCATATAATTTTTTTAAAATAATTTCTTGTTTATCATCAACACTACTACTTCTACTGCAGAGCCAAGATAGATGCTCCTTCTGTTTCTAATATATCATCCTGCCTTCTCATTTAACTCAGACAAGAAATAAACATATTTGCCAAAATACCAATCAGTTTGCAAAAAATAAAAGCCAGTGCTTTAGTGGTGATAAATTATGTATCATCTGTTTTATCTGATGGGCATATTGGACCGTAGATATGCTTTCTGTTGTCACAATAATAAAGAGAAATGTGGTTTCCCTCTACAGAAAACGGCCACGGTGGTTGCTCCCAGGTTCTTTTGTAAACTCTAATTTCTGCATTCCTGTTTTGTTATTCGCATGTTTCTGATCTCCAACTCCCAGTTCATTGGCTGCATAATTGGAAGACAGGGTAGCAAGATCAATGAGATTCGCCAGGTCTCTGGAGCTCACATCAAAATTGCCAGCGCCACTGATGGCTCAGCCATGCGCCAAGTCACGATCACAGGTTCACCAGCCAGCATCAGTGTGGCCCAGTACCTCATCAATGCCAGGTAAGACATTACGCAGGACAGCCACGTCCAGCAGGGCATCACTCGCAGCCTGATGATAAGACAGCCAAACACTGAGCTATTATATTGGGACAGAGATATTGTGCTCAGGGTGAGGCTGGATTTGTTCCAACTCACTGCTCCGTTCTCTTGACTGCATTCAAATCCTTATTGTCTCTGCTTTTTAACACATTCCTTCTTTGATTCTTTTGTTTTCTCCTTTCTCACCTCCCTTATCCTTTGTCTCTCCCCCCATCCTCTCCCCGTTTTTCTTTCTCCATTTTTCTCCTCTTAACCCTTCACCGTCTCCAACTACCCCTCCAATCGTCACGGCCTGCAGCTTAGAGATGGCTAAATACACAATGCAGGCCGCTTCCTCTGCGACCCCAGTTGACCTGAACATGAGCTTCTCACAGTCTGCTTCCACTGCCTCCACTTCTGCAACCTCTATGGCCGTCCTGGCGGCCACCACCCCAGCCCCCACCACAATTAACGTCCACTCTCCCTCCACCTTACCAGCCATCCAAAACCCACACTACGCCGTCCCCGTTTCCAGCCTGCTTGGCATGAAAACGCTCCCCGTGCTGGCCGTCCACCCAGCAGCCGCTTCCAGCCTAACGCAGGGTTTATCCCCTTACACCGCAAAAATGCCAATCTCCGGCGTCAAAAAGTCAGAGCGGCAGAAGTTTGCTCCTTATTGACACCTGCTTTTGAGCCCAGGCATCGTAGCTGACTGATAGGACCTAATTAAAAAGGATGGCAAGTATATAGGCCTAAAATCGGCTTACACCAGTGTGTAAGTTTTCCCCGTGTAACATTTGTTCCCCATAAATCAGAATGACATTAGACAGAGGCAGAAAGGCTGGCAGTATCAAAACATGTTCTCGTTAATTAAATGAGGCAGTAGAGGTGCATATTAAGTCAGTATTATCTCATGGACATGTATAACAATTAATGTGGGTAACTCAGGCTTGTATTCATAAAAAAGCTATTTTTCAAATGGGTTTGTGTTCCAGAGCTTTATACGAAGACTTATCCCGATGCAATTATTGACTTAGTTTTCTGTCTGTGTGACTAGTTTTTCCTAGAAAATGTCAACTAGCAATAAAAGACGTGGTGCTTTTGTTGGCAGCAGGCTGTTAAACTTTTGGTTTTTCACTGTAGAAGTTAAGTGTTTTTTTTTTTGTTTTTTTTTAACAAGGATTGTTCCACTCTTCTGTCATATTCCCCTCCCTCTCTTTCACTATAGGCTCTCATCAGTGCTAACAGGCTTGGGTGTTCTGTAGTAGCGTTACACTGTTGCAGTTCTGATGGGATTATCTTAAAGCCACATTGGATTCTAGTGGATTTCACCCTACACAGTAATCATGTAAAGCAGGGACTGGCCTGACTAACTCTCGCTCGCTCGTACCGTGCACCGGCTTGTTTCTTGTTTATTCTCCAGCCTCGGCGAGTGGGGGAAGGCTTCGACTTGTTTCATCCGAAACGGGGTGCTGATCAGTTATTTAAATAAATGTTTTATTCATGTGTTCCTGGTGTGGCACCCCCCACCCCACCCCACCCCACCCCACCGCCACCCACCAAAAAATACCAGAATGCAGATTTATTATGTTTGTTGATGAAATGACTTTGAAATAAATGGGACTTTTTACGAATGCAGATTGGTTGCTTTTGTTCTAATTTTGTCGGTGGAGAAAGAATTCCATGTTTTTGCTGATTTCTCTGAGTCATAAATATAAACCTGGACACTTGAGGATTTCTCCCTTGTTTACTCGTGGCTTTAAGCCATAATTGTATATACCACACATACCCACTTAGCCGAAATTATGGATAATATCTCAGAGTGCTGAAGCTATTTTGTTGAATATACACTGTTTAGGATTTGTGTTTTTTATTCCCTTTGTAGAAATGAGGGATTCTGAAGCCTTCTGGTGTGATTCAGTTTTCTACACTTGGAAACAAACCTCATAAACAAAGTGATATTAATAAGGTCGTAAGATCAACTTTTATTCTTTATTTTTATCCCCCAAACACTGAATTTGCTTCCACAGATTGTACGTGTAAAACATTCAAAAGCTGAAATATAGAAAAAATAGAGGGAGTCCATTAGCAGGACACAGCCACATAGAGACTAGCAGGAGTGCGAAGACAACTCTGCACAAACTACTCCATAGTATTAAGGATGCAGTTTGTTTGTGGCAGAGGGCATTCAGCTCCTGCCCAAACAAACTTTTCTACCTGCACTCTCCTGAAAGAAAACAGAAGCGAAGCTGAACCTCACAGTAAATATTCAACACATGCTGTGGCAAAATTCTCATGGGTGCAAAAAAAAAAGAACAAGTTAACCTCCAGTCGTCCGCTCAACCGTGCTGCTAGTGGGCAGGTGGGGGTACAGTGCAGTCACTCTTTGTTTCTCCGTGTCCCTGCCGGCTTGTCCCTCTTTACCCTCGCCCCTTGGCGAATCTGACTTTGCTCCCTTTTCAGCGTAAAAACCCAGGAGGAGGAGGAGGGGAGCACTTCTGTTCCGCCTGATCCGTAGCAAGCCACGAGGGCCATTTCCACAGCAGGGCTCCAAATGCTGAAGTGGAGATAATCAATAGTTAATGGGGGCAGAAATGTAATGACAGTGAAGGATGACATTTCAACCTGGGGGAAGGTGTATGTGCACTGAACGCTGCTGCATGTATGTTGATGTGTGCCCAGGGCAGTTATGAGTTCACAGCCAGCTTCTAATGTTATATTAATGATTTCCTTTTTCAACTTGACACAGGCAGGAGTGAGCGGGCCATTGCTGGAGCTTGCTTCCATAATGCAGTTTTGGGAAAAAAAAGCTATTTAGAGGTAAATAAGAAAATAAATAATTTTTTAAAGGTGTACAGGCTGTCGCTCAGGCCCTGATGAAAAACGGCTGCAATACTTTGCAGACTTGCATGTCTGTGGTGCAGATTGGGATTTCTTTTTTTAAACTTCCATCACACACAATAAGTCTGTATGCTAGACTTTTTATTATGAAGCTTCACATTCATAATCCTTAACGTGAGGCTTTATTCCAGCGTATAAGCAGTAAATATGCAACCAATAGTCTGCTATTATAAATAATATCCCTTAGATTTATATTTCAGAAGCTTTGCTTTATCTTAAAGTTTGTTTGTTTGTTTTATCCATATAAGGAATACTTTTTTAGAGACCTGAACAGCATATAGTCTGCTGCTGTTGTTTTACCAACTGCATTTCTAGGATAATTTCTTTGTGTGCTCAGGTAGTGCTACCAGTGATGGAGAAGGTAAAAGTACCAAAACGGCTTCATAAAAGGGAACAGAAATCCTACAAATTCACTTTCAAAGTAAAATTAAAAGAGTGGCTTCAATAATCTGAAGTCTAAATGTGCATCCAGCTACTATATAGGTAGACTGTATGTGCATTTACATATAATGTAGCTGGGCAAAGTGGAGTGAATGTGGAAGAACATCAGTTATGGCTGCATCAGGTCAAACTGTCACTCTGCTCAGCTTTGTTCTGTGCCCACATAGTTGCTAAGCTAATGGCATTTCCTTTCTAACAGCACCAGCTAAGATAATACACCTGCTGGATATTGTGCTGTGAACAGGTTATCATGGTGGTGTTAGATTTTTTTTTTCTCAGCTGCTGTGCCCAGGAATTTATCTTTTACTCACAGCTGTCAGGTAAATGCAATGAAGTATGAAGCATGCTATCTCCTTGGACTGCAAGAAAAAAAAGTTTTAGGCATGAAAATGAAAATAAAACTAAGCTGAAAATAGGCTAAAACTGACAGCGTGGCGACTTATTGGCGACTTTGTGCTGCTAGTCATTTAAACTCACCTCCCACTGGCAACAATAAATAATGACTAACTAATGTGAAATAATGTCTTAAACCATTTAAGACCTTTTTGGTAATGAAACAGGCAAATGAACAATAAAACGGGATCTCTATGGATTACATGACTATGTGACACTGATGAACAGCGGGCTGTTGAGGGGATGCAATTCACAGCTTCAGTTAAGATAAATCAGGTAAGAGGAGGAATCTTAGCCGCACACACACAGAAAACATCTTTATGCAACAATTAATCAGAATCTTACATCAGGTGCTTTAGTCTTTTTCTCTTCTGGCACCAAATTACCCCCAAAGACCAAAGTGCGCCATGGAAAACGACTCCCTAATTCCAGATAATTAGGTAAAGTCGTTAATCACAGCAGCGAGTGAACCTTCTGAACCGACCTGTGAAACATCCATCGGGCTCACTAATTGACTGCCTGTTGTCTTGGAGCCATATTTAACTGCTCCATCTAGCGGTCTCTCGGCTGAACGTGACGTCGGAGCGCTGCTGCCTCTCTTCTCTCCCCCATTTATTAAATTATTTAATTTTTTTTTGTCACCGTGAGAAATAAAGTGCCAGTGTAGGGCAGCAACATCAGTAGCGCTTTGAAACCGTGGCTGTTCGCCGCAGACGGAGCGCTCTCACTCACTGCGCCGATGAAAGTTGAGCGCAGCACGCTGATGACCTGCGAGCTTCCTCCGGGGAAACTGTGCATTTGACTGGCTTAACGAGCGCCTGTTCCCATCTCTACACTACACATCATTTGTTGCTGTCTTGAGCTCCGCTGTCCAGCAGGCTGAAGGCTGTGTGTTTGAACCCAGCGCACTCACGGATACGGACTCACTCCGAGGATCACAGGTGAATAAGGATGCATCAATGTTCCTGTGTGGAGGTTTTTTCTTCTTCTCTTATTTGCTTGTCTTAAATTGCTTGAACGCTCGGGCTTCAGATCAACTTAGTTGACTGTGAATAAGCTAATTTATGTTTTCTGCTCTAATGTTCTTTTGCATTTCCTTGATGTTCCCACTCTCTGTGTCACAGTAAAGCCACCGTGCATGCATTTAATTGCACCTATCACCTAATCCCATGCAAATTAGCTTGATTGGAGAAAACTAACGCAGATTGTCGCAACCTACTGTTGCACCTGTGGCTGTTATTGTAAGTTCATTATGTGTGTTTTTTTTTTAAAAATATGTAAAAATAGGACTGAGGATTTTCTAAGAGAGGTTTCAGACTCTGCTCACACACTTAGGGGTGCACCATCCAGTCAGCACAGCCTTTACCAGCAGAGCCGAGCCGAGCCGAGCAGGCAGCCGAAACCCACAATCCAATGTATTCATTATTTAATATATTCATAGTATCCAGAAAAGTAGGGGGTAGGGTCTCAGGATTCTATATGTTTTGTGATACTGTAGGCTTGTTGTTGTTGTTATTATTATTATTTGGTAAATTCTGTTCTGATTTGTTTATTTTTTTATTGAAATGCTAGTTCCGTTTTGGGTGTGTTCCAGCTGCATACCCATCACTGTCATCATCATCATCATCATCATCATCATCATCATCATCATCACTTCTCTTTGTTCTTATTGAGAAACACACAAAAAACAGCTTTTTAAATTCTCTTTTCCTTAACATAGTTCCAGCCTCAGACTTTCCCTAGTTGGCTTTGTTGCAAGAGCAAACCACTTACCTTCTTGCACTGCTTATAACCTTAAAGCCTGTATGACAGTTTTGCAAGGGCTGTTGGTTTGCATGTTTAGGCAAACTTTCTTCTGATTTGGGTCACTAGTAAGATTTACAGTCAGAGGACAAAATTCAATTAGACAGCCCTGCAGCAATCTTTACTCACTGGCAGATGGCTTTATGCTCTTGGATCCTGCCTTAGTGTCCCTTATTGCTCTAATTGGATTTCATCATTTCACACTGTTTATCTGTATGAAAATGAATTTTAAAACGCAGCATCATTAATTCAATACTCTCTCAGCCCTGTCAGATCCAAGCCCACAAGTCACCACCGCCTAAGCATTTCACATCTCATCCCCTGCGATCGGCTTTGTCATAAATTGAAGCAGACCTCAGAGTAAATTGTTATGTTGATGGCATGTTGGGTTGTTGGAGGAGTCTAACTAGGAGAATCTGTAATCTGTGTGCAATAAATGAAGTGCATGCAGTGGCGAGGGCATATTTGTCTGTCTGAGTTTATTCTAGCCCTGAGGAGATGGTTTTCCTCTCAATGACATCCACTTTGATTTTACATAGGGACATTCGCAGGAGTTGCATTCCCCAAGACAATGTGAATATGATGTTTGCTTATCTGGTAGTGCTGCTTGTCAGACATACGTTGTGTACTATACCAGCCTTACACAGAGAAGGAAACAAAAAAGGGTGCTGATACTGTAGTCTCGCCACTGCTGCATCCCTTTCCCATCGTTTTCTGTCACCGTGAAGCGTTTCACTGGGATCAGATTTGCAAATTGTCCTATTTATTCTTTTAAATACCACTCCTATTAATTAAGATTAAATGCTAATTAGAAACAAACAGCTTAGTTAGGGTGTAGAAAATTTCTGGAGATGAGCGAGCTGCCTCAGTACATTTGACCCTATTTATAGCATTATTGCGAGACTGAACAGCCATCAACCGCCCTAACTGAGTGACATCTAAGAAGAAAGTAATAGGGAGGTCAGCCTTTACACAACTCAAGCGCCACGGTTTGTGTTATTGAAACCTTGCCAGTTCAATTTATATGAATAATAGTATCGTATTTGTCAAGGTGGAGCTAAAAATTGCACTCAGATCTCAGGTTGTTGTGGCAGGACTTATCGTCCATATTCGCTCTGCTGTGTAATGAAAACGACAATAATTTATGAGTCATGAATCAATGCGATGGTGAGCTTCACTGAAGCGTGAAGCTGCAGCTAGGCTGAATCCCGTCTTGATTAATCATTGTTGCTGCACCTCAGTGGTCAAACCTACTATGTTCGGTTGCCTGAGATGTAAACAAAACTCTGGCCTTTGACAGAGGGGATTTATAACTTCAGCGACGATAATGACTGAACTGGTGCTGGTGCCAAACACCGAGGCTGGGTGTTGAGTCCGTTCACTCCGGCGCAGGAAGCCACAGAAATATTTAAATGTCAGATGGAAGTGGAAGCATGGTCGGTCCTCAAAAGTAATAGCACGGGGACCGGCAGGAGTTAGATTTGCAATTTTAATGGTTGGAGCAGAATAACAAAATGCAATTGTATTATCAAGGGATAATTATAGTGGCATGCAGAAGGTTGGTCCACATTTCTGCAACAGTGAACAGTTAAGTGAGTAGAAAATGAAGTGAACTCCAAAAAGGGAAAAACTATTTCAACATTTGGAGATAGATTTGTCTGTCATTTCTATTGTGTAGAACTGCAGAGTGTGAAAACAGGAAAGGTGCGTGCCTCATTCACACAAAGCACCTTTTCCCCCTATGCTGAAATGCTTTCTATCTAATATGTACACACATTGGCAATATAATGAATGCATTGGCAGCAACTAGGGGTTCAGTATCTTGCCCCCCTGAGTATACTTTGCCATGCAGACTTGAGGACCCAGGGCTTGAACCATCAACCTTTCAATTTAATAGTTCTGCCTCATGAGCCACAGCTACTACCCCCAGTCTTTCCTAACCTTGGATTATCTTTTCCAAGGCTTTTTCACACTTGTCATAATGAAACACCATATTGGAAGTTTCAAAGTTTTATAAATACTCCGACTTCTTCAGCTTGTGTCAAAGAATCCTGCACCCAAACAGCACTCTACCTACAAAGCAAGGGACTGCTATGGGAGGAAGGCATTCAGGGAGCTCTTTGCTCAGTTCGTTAGGAAGATGAAAGCTAACGGGAGTGGTGGAGATCAAGTTGAGGTCTGGAAGACCAAGACAATGTTCAGAGACAGCCGCCACCTGGATTGCAAGAAAGGCAAAACACAGATGTGTTTGAGGTAGATTTCACAGAAAAAAAAGAAGAATTCATGAAAAGAAGACTTCTTTAACTTCACAGAGGTCGTGCTTTGGGCTTTTGTTGCAGCCAGCGGAATAGGGAGCATTTCACCGGCAGAGGGAAGAATAGATTCAATTAAATACCAGCAAACTCTAGAAGCATCACAGTTTGAGTCTGTAAAAAAAGATGAGAAGATGAGACGAGGCTGGTTTCTACATCGGGGCAATGATCCTGAACACACCTTAAAATTCAGAGTCAAATACAAAAAGAAACTAAAGGCTGTTTGTTTTTTTTCCCATGGCTCTGATAGTCTGTCGGCCTAAATGCCATGAAAAATCTGTGGCCAAACCTCAAAAGAACACAGAAGTTGAAGCTTGTGCAAGAATATTTAACAAATTCAGAGTAAATAAATAAATGACTCTTAACTTCTACAGCAAGTTGTGTTACTTGCCAAAAGATTAGCTATTAAGCACTGACCATGCCGGGTGCCCAACAGGGTGCCCAGCTGTTTCCTCGTTTCTTGATTTTCTCACTCTAACTTTATTCCTAGTGGAAATTAGGACATCTTTTATTCATTTAACTGTACAAACAGAAATTTTCAAGAGGGCAGGCGTTTGCATGTCCCTGTAAAATTCTCTTCAGTTAGATAGACACAAATCCAAGGTTACATCCTCTGTGTATATGGTAATTGTTGCTAACTGCATGCAGAGAATTGAAGGATAGAGCTATATGAAGGCATATCAGGTGAAGTTTGGGGTGGACGAGGGGAAAACAATCTGTAACATACAGTAAGGCAATTCCCATTCTTTTAATATGGACATACTGATATGCATCCATCTCTTACATCTTCTTAGTACCCTGGAATTAAATTTTGGGCTAGCACTTAGTATCTATAAATTTGATCTAATTTATCCAGAGAAAATCAAATTATTTAGTATTTTTCCCAGGAAAAATATAGGTGGAAAAAACAACAGGCTGCTTTCGAAGGCACAGTCGAAACAAATAGCGTAATAAATAATAAATTATAATAAAAACGCGCAATATTTAATGGCAAGTTTCATGTACTGTGATGTAGCTATGATCAGTGAAAGTGCATTACAACAGGAGAACACTGTCAGTGCTTTTCTTCTTGACCCATGCATTGCCTGGTTGCAGAATATTAATAATTGCATATGTTCTCCCTTAAATATGTTATTTGACCTTATTAAAAACCAATTTGCAGGAAAGTATTAAGGCAGAGCCCTTCCTCTGCTCTAAGCTGGGTATAATGAAGGTGACAAAACACAGGAATGTCCATAAAACAGTGTTGATATAGCAAGCAAGGAAATATTAAATAAGATATGAATATTTAATAGGTTACATCAGCCATGCAAACAGAAATAATTACATTTTATGTGCAGTGAAGTCATTTGCAGACAGTACATTAACCTACAAAGTGACATGAATAATGTTTGGGGATGGCTAAACCCATGAGACATCTAACTCCCTTAGACTTATATTAGCCAGTAAAACAAATCCAAAGACATTTATCTGGGATTTGGATGGTGTAGTGCAATATGAAATGTATTGACAAGACAGCCACATTTTTCTATAGTAGTGCATGATTTATAGCGCATGTGTTGCAGGAATTTAGAGACCCGAATCTGTTTTTATACTAATGAATGCGATGTTGTATTTCACGGGAAATCTGCTTCCTTTGCTGTCAGTTTCCAGCAGAGGTCTTCCTGCTGTTCAGCCTGTCAGGCCTGAGGTTTGAACCGACAACTTTCACATCGCTGTCTGAAAGCCGGCCGACCATAACCTGCTTTAAAGTCCCAGTCATTAAACTTTAATACAATATGACCACTCCAGAGACGTTTTAGTCTTATATTTGAGATATATATTGTATTCCCGGGGTGTGTGGTTTGTTCTCCTGGAGTCTGTTTGCATCATTATTTATTAATCAAAAATTGGACGACCGTCAGATCAAGTCTCAGCACAACAGCAAAGATAAGCTTCTGGTTTTTTTTATTGGCATTATTATGATGCATGTGTTAGTGTAACTGTTTTGGTCCAAGGCACTGTAATATAATACAAACTGCATGTCTGGGGATTTGAACTTTTCTCATACATATTTCTTGTTTAACTGACTTAAAAAAAAAAGTCTTTGCCTAGACCTTAATCTCATTTTAGCACCTTATGTCACTTAATAATTGCTTGCACCACTTCACTTGGCACAGTACAGAATCCTGCCAATTGCCAAAGTGATTTAAAAAAAAAAAAAAAAGGGGGAAAATGCGCATCCACTAGACTCTGTGTGGTTCAAAAAGTGACTGCTCTCCCATAAAAACAAAAATATATACACATAAACACACCTAATTTTCCATCAAGTGTTTGTTTTCCAGCGATAAGTATTTGCTGTTAATTGGAGAGTTGCTTTTCCACTTACAAAGCTGAATTTCCTTCTTTATTTTGCTCAGAAGTGGGTGTTCTGAAGTGTCACACGTGTGAATGAACTCACTGATACCAGCTTATATAATCTCTGGTATGCTTTTGATTGATGGCTGCAGCCGGTAGTTAGCATAAATCTGAGATGTGCTTTGAGGTCACACCTGTGCAGGGTTTGTGACCGAGCGCAAGAGCGCTGTTGTTACCTCGGCAGGCAAAAACACAGACTTGCTACATCACAATTAGGTCCCTAAAGAGACTATGGTTGCAGCGTGAAAGACACTAGGTGATTAATGCAAATAATTTATGTAATATTAAATGCTGTATTCTGCAGCGACATGTAGACTGACACTGTATTGTATGTTCATGTCACTTCTTAGTTGTGTTTTTTCTCTTCCTGCCAGAACGTCTTAGCGAGCACTGAAGATAGAGCAGTGAAGCAAAAAACCCAGAATTCTTTGCAGAGCTGTAGGCCAAAGATAAATCCATGACCTTTCAGCAAATAGCTTATATGCAACATTATAAATATAAAAAACGCTTGCCATCACTTGAACCTGAGGAGTGGTAATGAAGAAGTATCCACAAAGGCATCTTGAACAGTGAAAATGTTTTCAGTGTTTTCAATCCAGTCTGTAAATCTTCCTGACATTTGGCACACATTATGCTGTGTGCTGGAGAATTAATTAGATAGACATTTGGAAAAAATGTGATCTGTATGAAAATGGCAAGATGGCATAAGGATAAGGCTAATGGATGTAGGCAACAATTTGATTTGCCGATGCTGGGAATCTGCATAATTTTGTAAAGAGTTTGTTGTCAAGAGATAAAAAAAGATGCTACTGTTTCCTTTTCTTACCTTTAACAAATCCAATAAGAAAAATAAATAAATAAATAATACCAGAAACAAAACCTGTCTGCGGCTTTTAGTAGCTATCCCATTGATTCCTGAAGTAATGAAATGGGTCTTAGATGTAATAGTTTTTATTTTATTTTATCAGGAGTATGTGTTTTCATAAAAACAGCAGGGAACTGTGGCTTGAAGTAGAAGTTATACAAAAGCAAGTAAATGGTACATTTGTTTAGGACTATTTTCAGCCATGGGTACACATGTAGTTCTGTAGTGAGCACTCACGTCACCAGTGTATATCATCTCTGTCAGTGGATAGTTAGCAACCCTTTGACTGTGTTGTATGTTGGAGGAAGAATGGAAAAGAGACTTAAGTGTGTTCAGTGCTTATTATTGTCTGAATAGGAAGAGAATAAATGTACTGGTTATGGCACCACAGAGAAGCCAGTGAGGATGGATCTTAAAGCTGGTCTGAAAAGCTTGAAATTAATAAGCACAAACTAAAACGATTGACGTTTTTTAGTTTGTGAGGATTTTTCATCTATCAACCAAGAAATGTCTTAAACCTTCATTCTTTCTAATGGCCAGCAGGGGGCGACTCCTGAAGTTACGTGCATCATAGTGTTGTATATTAGTCTGTGGGGAAATGGCTCATCTATGATCTTCAAAACGTTTTTAAACGTGTTTATGGTCTAAATATCTAACTTGAAGTGTTACTGGATGGAAAAGGATCTAAATCGTGTTTATGCTGATTACATTCAGTGGCATGTGCCAATATTTTTGTGACTCGTGGTCATGCACCTCTTGATTTTTGTAATCTGGTGCATTAACCCTAAAATGCAGCTGTGTTGAATGCACAAATGTACCATTGTATTGTTTTTTATGGCTGTTTTAATGGTATATCAGTACAGAATCTCAGAGATATATAGATATACTGAAGAAGATACTGCAACAATTTGAAAAGATGAGACTTTGTGGAAAACATTTAAAAAACAAAACCCAAACACTTTGCAATGTCTTTGCTTCCAGTTTTGACTTCTTCGCTTCCTATATCAGCGCTGATGTGGCGGCACTGTCTGAGTGGTGACCCCTATCGTACAGGAGAATAATGCACCTTAACAGCAAGCATAAATAGAAGTGACTGTATGATGATGTTGCAGCAGCATGCAAAGCACAGTCGGCAGTCCAAAGATCTGCATGGGGTTAGGTTAATTGGTGATTCTAAATCGGTCATAGGTGTGAGCATGAACGATTGTCTCTCACTCTGTGTTGGCCCCGTGAGAGAGTAGCGACCTGCCCAGGCTGTGCCCGACCTTTTACCCTATGACAGCTGGGGCAGGCTCCAGCCCCACCGTGATCCTAAACTGGCTAACCGGAAACGGATGGATGGGAAAGACATGATGTTTTTGTACATATTGGTCCCAATTAGAGTCATGTTGTGTCTGGTGTCAAAACACCAAGATGCTGACGGCTGAAAAGCACTCAGCTTGAGGCTTCACAGACGTCACAGTGGTTACGGTTGTCTTACATCTACAGCCTATTCACAGGACACAAACACAAACTGTTATTTCATGGCACTTAACCAAGTGCGCCTTTTCGCATTGCGTGCCTGCTTAAAGGTTATAAAATGCACCGCATCTTCTTGTTACGCTGCACAGATGAAGTTTAGTAAGTCACAACGCTGACGTTTTCATTACAAATTTGCCACATTTGTATGAAGTGACAGTGAGAGTTACACAAACTCGAGCAACTTTTACGTAATGAGAAAAGAGAGAACGCCTGCGAGACACGACACCCACATGACTCATTATCAGCTTGTTCACACACCGTACCGACTGCGTTACCTTTGGAACTAACTTGTTGCCGGTTATCTGTGGGAGCTGTTGACAGTGAAGGGCAAATATAGATCTATTGGCATCCTTGTGTCCTTTAACATGATGTTATGGATGAGGTTCTGTTCCCGAATGCCAGCAAAGCCTGAGGGCCACCCAGAGCTCAGTCTGGATGGAGAGCACAACAGCAAAAACCAGCAGCGGTGTTAATGTGACAGCCAGTAGCAGCTGTTAAGGTGGAGAGGTGAGACTGAAAAAAGCCAAATGAGGTCCTTTTTGCTAATGAGGCCTAGGCATCTCTCTCTCTCTCTCTCTTTCTCTCTCTCTCTCTCTCTCTTTCAGCTGCAACAGTGTTATCGGTATGCACCTTGTTCTGCTTCCTCTCAGTTCCACAGCAGCTCCAAGGATTCAGCCTCAAACATAGCAATTCAGCTAAAACACTACTCAAATACCACTGGTGTGCCAGCAGTCAATTCCAGCATTTTTGATTCCTTCAGAATGGAGCAGAATTAATGAATATCAAAATGCGTGGCTTAAAACATGCAGACTTTGTTTTCCTCGCAGTAGAATTAATGCGGCTGCTATCTCTGCTGTATGTGTTACCATTTCAGCTCTTCACCTGCTGTTTAGGGCTCCTAAACACTCTGTTGGAAATTAGTTGTGTTCATTGACGCTGACAAACCAATCAATATGGTGAACTATTTCTTAAACAAACGCGGACAGGTCTTAAGTTAATTGTCGAGTCAATCGATGAGGGGTAATCTCACCTTTTCTGTTTAACGAAATAGGCCGCGGATGTCAACTCTTAGACGAGCCCGTCAGACGGAGCTCGGCGTCGAGCTAAGCCGAGCATTTGGTGGGAGTAGGGAAATGAATGGAAGTAGGCCACTGAATGCAGCAAAGCATCGTAGCGGGCATTTGAATTTCAAGGCGGTGCGGTAAATCAAGTTAAGCAGGAGACAAAAACAAAAACATTGACTACAGCTTTTCAGAAATTTGCAGTGTGTGCAGCGTCAGCAGTTGATCCTGGGATTTTCCTTAACTTCAGCTGTTGTATATTGACTCCTGGCAGTGCTGAAAACTATAAGGAAAGAGATGTGCTTCTACTTCTGATTTAAAAACAAAAAACAGAGAGACAGAGCTTTAGAGGGAAACTTTTAATGCTCCTCTTTGCAAAAGCTGGCCACTGCAGTCAGCTCTAGCAAAGGAAATTTGTCTTTCCAGACTGATATTATGTTCTATTTTCAAATCAAATCTTCCTTTTGTACAGCTGACTGGGATTCATTTAAGAAAAAAAATCTAGACATTGATCCTGATTCTCCCTAAGAGCTTACGAGATTCAAGTTGTTGGAGGTTTTTTTGACCATTTTTCTTTTACTTTATCACCGCTGAGCCCGATTGATGCAGGGAAGTGTTACAGTATGAAGCAGCATCGATTTCCTACAACGGCCCCATGAATGCTCCCTGTCCTGATGATCCAATTCACTGATCCTGCAGGCTTGCATCACACTCGGCGGGGTGTTCGACAGACATGATGAAGCAGTGCTCTGAAGTGAATTTCTTGCCCTGTTCTCGAGGCTAAATGAGACAAAAGCCACACCTTGGATAAAAAGTGACAAAATGCCGAGCACATAACCCCAGTTTAATTTTCTCTTTCCAGATGGACTGGCTCACACCTGAGATGTGAAGTGTGTTATGTGAGCCAAGGTGTTTTCCCACCTCGCTGGTGGTGGGGAGAGATGCTGCACTCCGTTGCCATGACAGCAGAAGTTCTCTTTGTTCTTGGGTTCCTGATGATGAGCGGCGCTCTGTGTAATCCTATCGCGACCTTACCGGTGAGCCAAGAGCGTCTGGAAAGGGTGTTGACCCAAGCTAGGGAGGACAAACATCAGGACAAGCAGACTGCAGAGGAGCCGCTGGGATACATGGCCCAGGAACAGCCGCAGGAAATCAATGCTGTAGGGCCCAACAGGACTGCCAGGTCAAACCTCAGCTCTCAGGCGCGAGGATCTAAAGGCGAGAATTCCCAGGAGCTGTGGAGCGAACAGGACAGCCTGAACCAAATAGACGAAGCTCCGACCAGTGACGTCACCCTCTCCCTGGACGCCATCGACGAGTACGCGTACCCAGACTACAGGGGGAAAGGCTGCATGGATGAGAGCGGCTTTGTTTTTGCCATCGGCGAGCAGTTCACCCCGGGCCCTTCAACGTGCCCTTGCCTCTGCACAGATGAAGGCCCTCTGTGCTCCAAGCCAGAATGTCCCAAGGTCCACCCTCGCTGCATCAAAGTGGACACTAGCCAGTGCTGCCCGCAGTGCAAGGAGAAAAAGAACTACTGTGAGTTTCGGGGCAAGATCTATGCTTCGCTAGAAGAGTTTAAGGTGAGCCCATTAACTGCATTCACTCATTTTTGACATGCTCCAACTTGAAAGAAGTGCTGACAGAACACTCCCTCGCCATGAGTGGAGTTTATCACAGGCACTACACAGGAGCTAGTTACCTCGCCTTGCAGCATGCAAGCAGGCAGGCAAATTTATAATGGCAAAGGTCAGCACTTGTCTTTTATTTCCCTTTTTTTCTCCTCTGCACAATGTTACTGGAGGCTGAATTTAGCAGTGCAGCTTCAGCAGAGTGTTTCCATATTTAGTTTGTTGATACACATGATAAAAGTTACAGTTATAGTAGTGTTACAACAGCACAGCGCAGCACACTGCTGCATGTGGGTGTTTGAGGAAGAAGAAATACACTGGTGAGATGGTTGTTTTATCTTCTGACACCACTTTGAAAGGTTCGGCTCAGGACTGCACCACAGTCTCAGCGTTAGGTCTCATTTATCAGCGCCTAATGCTCCTATTTATAATGGATAGTGTCTCACCAGGTGGTTGGGGCTAATATGGGATGTCTTCCTCTAACTCATGTTGTTGCCGACAGCTCTCTGCTGAGCCAAATCTACAGAAAGCCTCTACTGCCACTAGCCGCATACATCAGCCTTTCTGCTGTGTGAAGAGGGGGTGCTTTGAAACTAAGCAACAGGCAGGTTTTAATGCTTGATTGCTGCATTCTGGGGCATTGTGCTAAGTGCTACCTCACTCCATTTTCACAGTGGAGTGCCATGCGGAGGCGCAAGCCTCTGCAATCTACAGCAATGCTGGAATTAACCTTTGCTCTCTTGTTAAGACTACATGTATATGACTTTATACATGCAGCTGCTAAACTGAGCTTTGCATGGACACTGTAGGCTGCAGGCTAAATGTAATTCAAAGTGCGCTCTGCCTTTGTGCTACATTTGCTGTACTTTGAGATATACAGGAACGCTCGGATAACTCAGTAATTCCTGACTCTGATCACGCGGCGAGAAAATTGGAAGCATCTTCCTTCTTGTTTCCCATTCCTATTGATTTCTTCATATCCCCCTGATTCGATTGTGAAGTTCAATTCTCGACTCAGCCCTTTCTAAAATGAGGCATTCATTGGCAATGAAGTTGAGAAAGATGGGGCTTCCCTATAGATGTGGCTTTGTGACACTGAGTGCACACAGTCTTTAAAGGAGGCAGACAGGCAGGCGTGTTTTGTGTGTGCAGGTTGTGTGTGTTTGAGAGACAGAGAGCTGCAGAAAGGCAGACAATTGGCTAAACAGACATGAAATAAATGAATCTTAGACAAAGATGGCAAGAAATCAATTAATATGGGAGGAGTTTATGTCACCTGTGTTTACTTGTGCATGTGATGAACTGTTTGTAAGAGCATTAATTGATGTTTTTTTTTCTCTGCTATCAGGTGTCTCCGTGTGAGAAGTGCAGGTGTGAGCCGAGCGGAGAGGTGCTGTGCTCTGTGGCAGCCTGCCCACAGACGGAGTGCGTGGACCCGGAGTACGAGCCGGATCAGTGCTGTCCCATCTGCAAGGGTGGTGAGTGGAGATGATGATTTCTTTCAACAAGCCAGTTCATTCCAGTGCAGTTGGTATCCCAGTGGCATTGGCATGAAAGCCCCACTAGTGCCAGTTTTTGCTCAAGGGCACCACAACAGGAGTAGCGAGGTAGCAAAGCATCATTTCGCTGACGCAAAGCAGGCAGCATGCTGCACTGCAGTGTGTGCAGTATCTTGCCACATCGGATCAAATCTGTTTAAATGAAGTCACGGCAAAAAAGTATGGCTAATGAGCTCTGAGTCGTGGCCTGTTTTTGTGTAAATATTACTTTTTTCTCTGCGTCATTCTTAATGTCATTTCGAGAGTTGTTTGATTGATTCTGTAGCATATGTTCCAAATCCGTCTACTGTCTGGTACTGAGATTTGAGATACGCTTGCATTTTTTGCTGCTTCTGCTGCTGTTGGGGGGGTGGAGTTTATGATCCCGTTGGTTTGAGAGCTTCGGCCTGCCTGAGAAGAAGGAATTCTGCAGCTCAGAGTCGATTATATGAAGTTGTTTCCGATGATTCCAGACAGCATGTCCTAGATTATGCCCCCTTGTTTTCTTGGCGTGACTCTAATGCAACATGGCAATGTCAGCAACATTGCTTCCTTCAGCAAAAAGAATGATGACTTGCGATATGTATCTCTGACTTGGAATCTTAAAGCGGCGCAGGCTGTCTGCTATAAACAAGAGCAAACAATCTGCATGTGGAAAACAGAACCCGCTGCATGTGAAAGTGCTTCGTCTGTATGAACCGCTTACAAGGTGACAAGCGCTGCTGGTAGTGTCTTTTTTTTTTCCGGGTAAAACTGCAAGTGGGATATTTTGATTTTCCGGGCGTCTGTTGGAACTTTTTACACATTAAATGCCAAATGGGAAAATTAGAAGTCGATTTGAAACAGATGATCAGATGATGATGAATGAATTTGGCTTAAATGAACAAAACACACACACGCACAAAAACACCTCTTCTTCAGCACATGTCTGCCATCGGTTCATTATCATTGCACCCAGAATATCACATTAGCATTAGTCATGTATCATTTTAAACTCTGGAAGTATTATAGACATTAGAATTTGCATGTAATGAATGTTCATGACTAGTCATCAATCAGAGATCGTCCCGCTCAAATGAGAAGCCTGTCTCACAACCTTCCAGTGGTAGCAAGTTGAAAAAGATTGGTAGTCATAGAGCGTCGCTCACTTTATTAATATTTGGCTGCTGTAATCTTGGGGAGTACATGTTGGTCCTTTGTTCTTCCATATTTATTTATTTATTTATTTATTTTTGCTGTACACCCACATTTTATATATATGCACATATTGATCATGCTGAGAGTGCTTTTTGGGCAGTTTTGGGCAGTGCTCCATAATTTCCCCCCTGTGAAATGCCCAGTGGATTAGCTGGGCCACATTTGTAGGCACGGCAGTCCAGGAGACGAATGTAGATCCCGTACAGTATGCACAGAGATGTGGCAGATTGAAGAGAGCGGGCATTTGTATTCTCAAGTATCCCCAAATCCACGTGCTCGTTCACCCGATAAGGATTTTCAGTTTTAGGTTGACGTCAGTCCCTATTACCATAAGATTACCACACATTACCTTTCAATGAATGCGGCTTGCTATGCAAGGGATGACACGTTATCTGGCCACAGCTAATACCGTCGCGAGGAATACTGTAGCCCATGGGGATTGTGTGGTTAAAAGTGTTAACTACTCAGCCTGCAAAAACAGTAGGGCACGTCTTCTGTGGCGTTGTTAGAGCTTCCTAAATTGATGACCCTAATAACATCATCAAGTTAATCTCAGCTTGGGCTGGGAGATTTTATATTTTAGCCAACTGACACCCTCTAGAGCTGAAAAATGAAGCCAGTGTAGAAGTTTCGCTCTTTGTCAGGGGCAAGGCTGATGCTGTTTCCTCAATGCAGCCATTGCCGGAAATTATAGAGGGTACAAGAAGGACTGGGAATCCTTTTTTATGGAACTTGTCCTGCTCAATACATCATTGTCAATATTGAATAACAAAATGCAATAAAAGTGCTAATAATAGAGGTGATATAACAGGTTTTTTAATGGCTGCCCGTTGTTTCCTGATGTGAGATTATTTTTTCTTCTACCCAACAATGAAATAAAACATATTTATGATTGTAACCAGACTGCATTTGGTTTGCAGTTGTGCTCTTTTCTTATGGACAGCTGCATCTCCTCATGCATGATTATGGAGGCAGGAGGTCTGCTCACAGTTATTTGCATATTGTGATTTATGTCTTGTTCGTAACCCCGTGACACACCATTTTAAAAAGTCCAGGAAACACCCATGCTCCTTAAAGTTAATGCTATCAGCTCAAATGTCTAACTTTGAAAGTTATATATGTTTAAAGGCGTGACTGATTTGAGTGGCACGTGTGCGCGGACCCACGCACACGCAGTGTTGCTGCTAGACATCACCTCGGCTAATTGGAGGCACTCTTCTGGACCTCTTGATCTGTAATTATCTGACAAATAATACGGCTTGTTGTGTGGTTAATTATACCAACAGACCGTCCAAGATGTCTGTGCTCCAGTTTTTGTTTTTTTTTGTTTTTTTGAGTGTGATTCTAGAGTTATTCTGCTCATGTGTTAATTAGCAGGTAGGCTGTTCTGTACTGATGTATTTCACATGTACAATTATGCATGCAGCTTGCAAACCAAGCTAAATGGTGTTAAAGAACACCTTTTTCACTTATAACTTCCAAAAGAAAGTGATATCTTTGAAACACTAGTCTAATCTGCAAACAGTGATTGATTGGCAGCTAAGTGCATCTTTTATGTGTAGTCTGTTGCCCTTTAACTTGGGGAAAATTTGTTTTTTTTTTAACCATATTTAAGAGTTTTCCAGTGGGGGAGTACCTGCTGGTTCTGGAAGCATTATTTCTCCACTCTTAAAAACGTTAATGAAGCCCTCGGTGTACTTCCACAGAGAAACACAGGAGCCTGCTGCTTGATTTAACATTACAATTATTTGTGTGCTCAGCTGGAAATCTGGTTACACTTGTGCACCATATATTCTGAATTACACCCAAATTGGCCAAAAGTTCAGAGCGATCTGTTTTTACCAAACGCTGTTATGTTTAGCTCTGACGATGATGATGCTCAATTTTCAGCTTAGTGACTGGATGTTTCATCTCGAAATGCGACCAGTGATTTCTCCCACCAGTCGTTTTACGATCAAAGGTCGTTGCTTTTGTACCGATGATTCAGTGATTCATTCATCATGAATGTCCAAATCATTTGTCGGCTGCGTAAAGCCACTCGTTATGTTGTTTAACTAGAAACTGAATTGAATCTGCGAAGAAACATGAGAACCCAAAATTGCTTCCTCCACTTTTGGGCGCGATGAGACTCTGCTCAGTTCCATTATGGAAATCTGGACTTTCCTGTCTGTGTTCCTTAATATAGTGAAGTGAAGGACTAAATGACCAGAGTGCTCTTTTAAACTTGTCTCAAATACTTGTTTTCATGCATATACCTTTATGACATTTAGCTAAAAGTAGAAGCCTCGTCATCGTCATGCAGCGTCTGTCAGCCTGCTCTCAAACTCCTTTAGGGAGCATAATCTACAGGAGCACAGTGATATTTATGAGAATACAGAAATAGACTTTGGCAACATTTACACCTCATTTGTGCAGCAGTCGGGCTGCTGTGCTTTTTTTGTTTTTAACTCTAGCAGGTACACTTTTTATGTATTTTTAGGATCGTGCCAATAATTTACACTTCCTTCCTCACTTTTGCTCTGCCTCCTGCTGGTGTTTTCGCATGTTCACGATAGCTGTGAACATTAGAGCCCAAAGTGTTAATTGACACAGAATCGAGAGTCTGGTATCAGTGTGTGTTTAACAACTTCTTATTGGACGGGGAATCATTTTTGGCTCGTGATTTTGCGACCACGGCTGACAGGGTTGCGGCTGTGCAAACAGGAGGCGTGAGCACTCGACAAACAAACACCAGATATCTTTTGTGAAAGTCGGACTCTGCGCGCTACGCCATCCGCTCCCAGAAAATTAAGATCTCTGTCAGGAACTAATACAAAACTACCCCCAAAAGATGCATCTCTTTGTGGACTTAATTGGACTTGACAACAAAGAACAATAAAAATGTGAAAAATTAACTGGGGGACATCTTATTAAATAATTGGAGGCTATACTAATTAGATGTACACAGAAGTAAATGAGACATCACTCCAAATGACACCACTGATCTTCCCTTCAGCTCCTCTCAATATCAAAACGATTATCCATCGGATTTCACTTTGTCTTTTATTCATGATGCTTCTTAGCCAGGTATTGCAGGCGCCATCATTTAGATGACGAGGATCATCGATTGTCAGCTCCCATCTTGCCGCTGTTGATCATGCAGCACTCGATATGAGACAGCGCCGAAGAGGTGGCTCCGTGATAAAATACAGATGATGTAAAAAGGAAGAAAAAAAAAGAAGGGGGGGGGGGAGGCATGGTAGAGGTCGTCGACGGAGAGTTCCTCCTCTGGTTCTGTTGTTTGTCTTGTCTACAGATGTTGTTTGAGTTGTGGGCAGATGTTAAGACCTCCCAGGTTCCGCGGTGCATCCGAAGTGTCACATCAAAGCTCGGGCTCATTAATGAGAAAGAATTAAACACTCACCCAGATGACACCAAACGGGGAAGGAGGCTGGTAGTGTGCACAGGAAAGTTTTTTTGTTTTTTTTAAAAAAAAGCACCGAAGAGAAGTGAAAATGAAAGAAAGATTAAAATCTGTAGAGATAAAAAAACCCTCAGATGTGGTTTCTCGTTCAACAAGTAATCCCTCCTGTCTTTTACCTTCATTCCCCAGCAAACAGCCACTTCGCCTCTTTACCATTTTCCTCACTATTGATAAAAATACAACGAGGTATTTCAATGTTTGATAAGTTCATCAATTATGCACAGGCATTATCTTGGCCTTTTCAGGCATGCAAAATCAATGCTTATGGCAGAGCACCCTG